TCTTTCTGGGGGTAGAGCAAGGTGTGAATTAGGGTTTCTAGAGCCTCCGGTCAGTGTTGCCTTTCCCAGGTAAGGTGTCTAAAACTGGACAGTCTTCCGGACACGGGTGCCCCTGGGATTTGTATGAGGGAAGTGAGATTCTGGCAGTTCTCTTTTCTGTGGTGTCCCCGATTCTGCCTGGCGTGGGGTTCGCCTCCGCAGCAGCTGTGCACTGGGCCAGCACGTTCCTGGCGCTGTCCACCTCTGCCCCAAGTGCTCCTCCTTGATCACTCACTGCTAGCTCAGAGAGGATGGGAAAACCTGCCCCGAGAAGCCTGCCCCAGGAAGCAGCAGGTCCACCGAAGATGCCCCCTTCCCACCCGGGCCTGTCCCCCCGACATGGCTGGGCCCTCGGTGGTGGGCACACTGCCTCCCAGCTGGTGCGGAACCTGCCTTCTGCCTGAGGGTTAAGACACCCCCTCTTTTCTGAGGCCGTTGAAGACTTACTGGCCGCCGGGGCTTGAGGCGCACTGCCAGCTGTTTCCCAGAATCATTCTTCTATTACTCTTTGTATTGTTTGCTTTTAATCTTCTGGGTTTAAATGTTTTAAACATTTTTCTGGTATTTTATTTGCATTCTTACCATATATTGTTATGGATTGTGTAAACCGCCCAGAGAATTTGGGCTGTGCAGCAGTTCACAAACGAAATGGAAAGAATGAATGACAAAGGTGGCACAAGCCACAAAATGAACCGGATCCTTGGGGTCTCTGGCTGGGCAGAGGAGGCAAGGCGAGGCGAGGGGCTGGGGGGCTCGCATGCTGCCACGAGAGCCGAATCCAAACCCTTCAGAAACAAAGAAGAGCTGAACACGAAGCGTGTCCATTATGCACGTCAACTCATCTTGCTTGGACTGAAGAAGGGGGAGTTCTGGGGGGCTGGGAAGGGGGCCTGCAGCCCAGAGGCTTCGCTGAGGCCCCCTTCCAGCATCAGACATTGCACCCCGATCCCCGCATGTCCCAGGACCAGGAGCCGCAGGCAGGGAGGCGGAGGAGGACCTGGGTGCGCTACTCAGAACCAGCAGAACCCCAGGGCGGCTGCGCTGAAGCTGAGGCGAAGTCCAGAGAGTGATGGGCTGGGCAGGAGGGCTCCAGGCCTGGCCGCGAAGCCAGAAGCGGAGGCGAGCCCCCCCTGCTCTCGGCATCAGGCACATGGGCCTCCCCCTCATGGCGCAACCAGCCCCCCCCCCACTGACTCAGGTGCTGCATTCACCTGGGGGGCCCAGCCGCGTCCCAGCCCGCCCACTCCATGAGGGGAGGAGGGGCAAGCCCCCAGGCCACACGCGCCAGGCCTGGCGTGGAGCCTGGGCTGAGACGGCCCTAGCCTGGCCTCGCGCCCCTTCTGGACGACGAGGGCTGGGTCCTGCCGAGGCGCTCCTTCTGGAGGGCCTCTCGGTGGGAGGAGCCAGGCCGGGAGCCAGGAGGGCCTGACGTGCCCCACGGGAGACCCGTGTCCCCCAGCCATTGTCCTGCAGGGGCTGCACCCAGCCGTGTGGCTCTCGGGTCTCTTCCCCAGCGCTGGGAGACGGTGCCCATGGACGCCCGGGCCGCCCCCCCCCCCCCCCCCCCCCCCCCCCCCCCCCCCCGCCCCGAGCGCCAGACCCACTGCCCCGGGAGGCGTCTGCTGTAGGCTCTCACTGCCGCTGCTGCCCTGCCTTAATGCCCAGGCTGTGAAGAGACGGATGGCGGGGTGTGTGTGTGTGTGTGTGTGTGTGGCGGGGGTGTGTGTGTGTGGCGGGGTGTGTGTGTGTGTGTGTGTGTGTGTGTGTCTGTCTGTCTGTCTGTCTGTCTGTCTGTCTGTCTGTGGCGCATGACTGCCAGCAGCTTTCCCCGCACCTGGTACTTCTGCGCCCCACCCCATTTCCCTCGTGGCCACAGCCTTTCCTGGCAGGCGCAGAGTCGCCCGAGTTGCCCTTTGGGAGCCTCCCCAAATTCTAGAATGTCTGTTTGGAGGGGCGGTGACCGAAGTTGGGCAGGTTATTCCGAGTGCAGCCGCACAATAGTCGCACCAGGTGTTCCATTTCCATTTTATTGTCTGTTCCCCTCCTAATTCGTCCCTGCGCAGGAGACGGCTGGGCTGCTGGGCGGCCCTGCGCTGCGCGGGGGCTGCGGCCTCCTCCGTCGCTCACTGCGCGCACCGGCCAGTCAAGCGCGGACGGGCCGCCGAGGGGCACGTGAAGGGCAGCCTGAAGCCGGGCGAGGGGAGGCGGCGCTGCCGGACCCGCTTTGGGGCTGCGCCGGGCAGGCGCCGAGGGGGAGCGCAGAGCAGGCCCGCCCGCCGCGCACAGAGCGCGCCCCACCCCCGTCCTCTTGCGCCCGGGAACTGCGCGCGCTGGCCGGGAGCGGCCCTGCCCGGCGCCGGCATCCACCCGCCAGGCGCAGAGGCCCCGGGCCAGGCGCGCCCGCAGCGGCTCTGGGGCACGGGCGCCCGCGGGCCCAGCAAGCCCGACAGGGGCGCACCGAGGCGGCGCCGGAGAGCGGCAGGCCGGTGCACGGGGGCGGCCCAGGCTGGAGCCTCTCCCGGCCAGCGGGGGCCAACGGCGCCTCCCTCCCGGGCCCGGCGGAGCCAGGCGCCAGCCAACCCCCGGCCCTCTCCTGCCGGCTGCCGGGCAGGCGGAGGCGCGCCGCCCAGTCCCGTCCCGAGGCGGCTGCGTGGGAAGCCGCCGCCCCGGCCGCTCGCCACCGCCCCAGGTAGCTGTTCGCGCGGGCGGGAGCAGCAGGCCCACCAGCCGCCCGGGGCGGCGGGATTAGCGCCTGGGGCGGCTCGCCGCCCACCTTAAATCTCCCCTTAAGAGCTCCCGCCGGGTATTAAGAGCACCAACCCGCTCAAGGGCGAAGGTCACTTTGCGCCGCAGCGCCGGGAGGGGGCTCCCCAGCGGGGGCTCCGCAGCAGCTTCCCGGCCGTCGGGGCTCTGCGGGGAGCGCGGCCCCGAGCTGGCGCCTCCGCAGCGGGAAGCGCCTCGCAGCCCCGCCATCCAGGTCGCCCTCCGCAGGGGAAGGGGGCGCCGGGGAGCCCCGCTCCCGGCACGTTTCCCTCCCGGGCATCCGCGGGTGCAGAGCTCTGCTGGGCACCGCCGCTTGCAGGGGCGCTCAGTCCCGCCCTCCTCTGGAGGAAGGCACTCGGTCAAACCGCTGTCCTTGCGTGCGTTTCCCGGATGCGGTGCGCACACCCGGGATGGCCCGTCTCGGGGGTGGGGCGATCCCCCAGCTTCCCACAGAGGAGACCATCCCCACAGGCACCGGGGCAGGGATGGGACTGGGGCTCCTGGTGGAGAGCCTGCAAGGGGCCACTAGGGCGCTCCGGCCCTCGGCCTCCTTGGGGGCAGGCGTCAGCAGAGCCGGCAGTTCAGCCTTTAGCCCAAACCAGTTCCCAGGCGGCTTCTCCCAGCCGCTCACTGGAACCGGCCCTGGGCACAGGCGGCCTTCCAGCCCGAGCTGAACTGCCCCGCAGAGCAGAGGGAAGGAGCGGCCCGGGGCACTGGCAGCCTCCGCTTGGCGCCCTGCCTGCCCGTAGCGCATCTTTGGACCGGCAGCTCGGCTCTTCAGCGACTGGCACAAGAGCTGGACGGGCACCCCGAGTGCTGCTTGGGCCACAGGCTCCTGGGACCCGAGGCCCAGATGGGCTGCTGCGGCCTCAGCAGCCGCCTGAACCCGGCCACGTCCTTTCCTACACTCTTCAGGCAGGCAGAAGCGCCTCCCCCCGCCCCCACTTCCCTGCCACTGCCCCTGCCCGGGGCCTTCCGCCCACCCCCATTTCATGGGCCTTTGGGGGGCATTCAGCACGTGGTCACCACACACGCGGGCAGGACCGAGGGTGGGACAGCATGGGGACCCGCCCCCGAAGGGCGCCGGCCACTCCTCGCGCAGCTCAGGCTGGCAACGGGGCAGCCAACCCCCGGCAGCGGGCCCGGGGAGGGGGGACCTGCCTCCCCGCGGAGCTGCCCCCGGCAGGGAGTCGACTGGAGCTTCCACCCCGTGCGGCTGCCACACCTTGGATGGGGTCCACACAGGGGCCATCCGTCGCCAGCAGACCTCCTGCTGCTCCGGCTGCCGCGCCCCACATCTGGCGCACGACCTTGTCCCCAGAGGACTCCCCGCAGCCCCCCCACCCGCAGGCCGGCGCGACGATCCGGTTTTATTAGATAATGGCCTGTAATCTGGCCGTGCGCAGCCTGGCCTCCCTAATGCTCCCCCCAGCGCCAGCCGCCTCTGGCGCGAGGGCACAGCTGGAGCGGCACGGCCAGACAGGAGCCGGAGCAGGGGCGCCCTACATTCCCCGGAGCCCCCTCGCCTCCCGGGCCTTCCACCTGAGCCCGCAGATGGCTTCCCAGCCACCCGGAAGAGCAGGTGGGCAGCGGCGGGCACCACGCAGCTCCCCAGGGCTGCGCTGACCCCAGGCTCCCCCCAGCGCCTGCCCGGTCCCCGAGGCCATGCGTGCCGTGGCGTGGCATGGCGGCGGGAGGAGTTGGGCTCTCCGGGGCTCGGGGGGCGGCCGTGCCCTCCATCAGGGCTGGGGCCGCCGTTCGTCCCACGAGTGATCGGAGCATAATGCCAGTGGCCCTGGTTAAGTTCCCAGATTAGCTGTCATAATCCCGTGTAAACACCGCCCAGCGGCCCCTCGGGGAGGCGACGGCAGCACTGGGGAGTTACACGGGATTTAGCTTGTTTACCAGTCGATTAATGCTGGGGGGCAGGGGCGGGGGCAGGGGCTGGGCTCCCCCCCCCCTGCAGTCAAGGTCACCCCAGCAGGAGGCAGGAGCGGGGCGGGGCGGGGCGGAGGGGGCGAAGGAGCGCGTTCCCGGCAGATGCCGCTTCCACATGTGCTGCTCTGTCTTTATTCGAACGCACGCGCGTGGCGGCAGCCCGTGCCCCGTGGCCGGGCCCCTCGGGAGCCTCCACGGACCACGCTGGCCACAAGCGCCAAGTCCGCGGGCCCCCCGGGGGGGGGGGGGGCTGCAGCTCCTTCCGTGGGAACAAGTGCAGGCCGGGGCCGGCCGGGCAGCTGCGGAAGGCACGATCCGAAGTGGCGCTGGTCCGGCTGCCGCCGCCACGCGTCCGGGACCACGAGGAGCCTGGCCGGCGCCTGCCGGGCACGGGGGCTACTCCGTCAGCGTGATGATGTCGTAGTGGACGGCCGGAGGCAGCTGCTGGGCCTGTTCGGCGGCAGGGTCCGTGCCGAGGGGGGCCTGGGCCTGGGCCATGGCGGCTTCCGCCACCGCTGCAAGAGACGGGGGGGGGGGGCGGATGGGCCAGCCGCATGTGCCGGGCACGTGGGGCCAGTGGAGCGAGGAAGCACAAGAGGCGCCCGTGGGTGGGGGCAGGGCAGGGCAGGGCAGGATGGGGTGAAGATCCGACCCTGGGAGCAGTCCGGCCCTGTGGAAGACCGCCTTCCCCTCCCACGGGAACAGAGGGGGCTGCCACTCTGCCGGCAGGACCGGATGGGCAAGACGCCCATTTCCACCACCACCCCCCCCGGTCTGGCTGGCCCAACCGCCGTGCAACGGGATCGGGAGGGTGCCACCTTCCCCCGGCCCCGCACTTGCCTGCCCCCTGCAGGCCCGCCAGAGCCCCCCCGGGGGCCCCCGGAGCCCACCTGTCACGGCGGAGTGAGCCGCTGCCTCCAGCTGGGCCTGCGTGACGAGCTGCTGCCCCGGAGACAGAGGGACGTACTGGACCTGTGCAGCGCGGGGAGAAGAGCTGTGGGGCGGGCCACCACTGCCCCCAGGCAGCCGCCCCCCGAGGCCCGCTGGGGCTTGTTGCCGTGGCTTCTCCCCTCGCCCCGCCCCGCCCTCCCGGGGCGCCCGGTACCTGGGGCTCTTGCACGAGCTGGCCGCCTTGCTCGTACTGGATGTGCGTGATCTGCCCGTCCTGCACCTGGGGGGCGAAGGGTGGCCATGAGCGCGTGCAGAGGCCGGGGGGCCCCGGCGGGAAGGGCTCCGCTCCTGTGCGCCTCACCTGGAGGTGGTGGCCCTCGGGCAGGACCACGTACTCGTGGGGGAGCAGGTGCTGCAGGCCCTCCTGGGTGATGATGTACTGCACCTGAGGGAAGACGGGGACACTGGCGCTCGCGCTCTGGCCGGAGCAGCCCCGCACCCCACCCGGCCCGGCCCGGCCCCGGCCCCGGCCCCGTGCCGCACCCACCTGGTTCTCCGCCGTGACCAGGTGCTGCACCATCCGCCCATCAGCCGTGGTCAGGATCTCCCGGATGTACACAGTCTCCTCCTGCCGGGCAGCGCGAGGCCGAAGCTCAGCCCAGGCGCCCGGCTTGCCCCCCGCCCCCCGTGCCCCACGGACTAGCCCCTCCTGGTGTGCCAACACACGATTTAGCCCCGGGAGCCCAGGGCCAGCCCTGATCCGCGGCCGCTGGACCGCAGGTGCGGGATTCCAGGGGCCGTGGAGCGGGAGCCACACCAGCCAGAGTCGCCCTTCGGCAGCCAGGCAAAGCGCCAGGCTGGGAACGCTGTGTGCTCAGCGCCACGCGCGGATGCCCAAGGTGCTCGCGGGCCGTTCCGCAGGCTGCAGCGGGGAGAAGGCTGCCTGGGGCTCTCCGTGCCCCGGGCATTCGGGGCACAAGGCAGAAGTGGACGGAGGAGTGGAACAAGCCCCCCAAGGAAGGGGGAACCGGCCCCGGCGGGTGTGGCAGCACGCCACGGCCTCGCCAGAGGGGATGCGCAAGCCCAGTCCAGGAGACCGGCCGCAGCCACAGCCGCAGACAGAGAGGGCGACGGCAGCTGACGTTTTCAAAGGGCAAGCGGAGGGCACCAGCGAGAGCGGGCAGGTGGCGCAGCCCAAGACTTCGCGCCCAGTGTTGGCAGTTCTGCCTCCGATCCCCGGGCACGGGCGCTCCTCACAGCCGCTGCCCGGCGGGGTGCAGGGGTGTCGTTGCGCCCCGAGGGCCCGCAGCCGTGCGGCCAGTTCCGGCCCCAGCATTCAGGCCCGCCCTGCCGGGGCGCGTTTTGCCCTGAAGCGCCGTTGCTCAAACCGCATTCCCACCCACCCACCGAGGGCGGAAACCCGGCGAACTGCCCTGCCCTGCCCTGCCCTGCCCTCTCGAGGGCCCCTGGGCCGAAAGTGGCCACCCCGCCACCCCTGGGAGGACGGCCGTGTGTCTCAGGGGCCGGTTCTACTGGGGGTTCGGCACCATAGTGGACAAGCCTAAGCGAACCTTCCAGGACACGGGCTCCAGGCGAGGCTGCCCGGGCCGAGAGGGGCCGGGGTGCCCGGCGGGCCGTGCGTCTGTGCCTGCAAAGCCCGGCCTGCTGCAGCGGGCGGTTACCTGGCCGGGGACGGTCTGCTCCTGGGTCATGATGAAGTGCTCCTGCCCCAGGGCCTGCTGGAGCCGCTCGGGCGAGGCCACGGCCTGGCCAGACTGCAGGGCCGCTGTGCGGGGGGAGCAGAGCGCCGGGCGGCGTGTCAACGGGGCTGCTCGGGTCTCCCGGCGCAGCCCCCCAGCGGCATGGCGACGGGGACGCGGGGGGTGCCCCTCGCACGTGGCGGGGCCGGGGGCGCCCGCCCCCTCGACTCACTCTGCAGCGTGGCCAGTGCCTCCTCGTCGCTGCTCAGGAGGAGGGTCTGCGGGGCGCCGGGGGCCGACTCGGGCGGGGGCTTCCCCCCCGAGCTGTGCAGCCTCTGCTTGTGGAACTTGAGGTGGCCGTTGCGGTTGAACCTGCGGGAGAGGAGCCCGCGTCAGCCCGGCGGTGCCACGCACCCCCCCGTGCCCACGGCCCCAGCAGGCAGCCGCCCGGGAGAGTGGGCACCCGTCCCGAGCGGGCAGCCCCCGCGCCGCCCACCTCTGCCCGCAGACGTGGCAGGCGAAGGGCTTCTCGTTGGTGTGGGTGAGGGTGTGGCGCCGCAGGTCCTTCTTGTTCTTGGAGGCGAAGCTGCAGTGCTGGCACTTGTGCGGCCGGAGGCTGGCGTGCTGCTCCGTGTGGCTCTGTGGCGGCACAGAGGGGGCCGCTCAGCGAGGGCCCCCCCCGTCCCCAGGCCCTGCACGGGGCCCCTTCGAGGGGCGGGGGGCAGGCTCTCCCTGTGGGGAGCGCCACATCCCCCCACTCGCGCTCGGCCTGGGAGGTCAGCGGCTCCCCTGCGCGCTGCCCCCCCCAGCAGCCGTGCTCTGAGCGCAGCTGAGCCAGACCGCCCCTTCCCCTCGCGGTGGGGGGGCCACACGCCCGCGCAGCGCTCCTCGCAAGCCGGGGCAACCCACCCGGACGTCTGGCCACGCGGCGGCCGTGAAGGGGCAGTCGGGGCACTTGAAGGTGCTGGGCCCGACGTGGGCGCGCTTGTGGCTCTCCATCTCCGCGCGGCCGGCGAAGGTGGCGGTGCAGATCTTGCAGGAGAACTTCTTGGCGGCGGGGGCCCTTCCCTGCGGCCTCCTGGGGGGGGCGGCCTTCCCCGGGGGCTGCCCGGCCTTGCGTGGTGGCGCATCCCGCTCCTCAGGGGCCAGCGCGACCGCCTTGTGGGCCGACCAGGTCAAGTGCTGTGCCACCGGCCACCGCAGGCCCGCCGGAGCCGCTGCGGCCTCCCCGCTCGTCTGCCAGGCACAGGAGCAGGAGTCAGGCGGCTGCCGGGCCGGGCCGGGCCAGGCCGGGCCAGGCCGGGTCGCCCCCCCCCCCACCCCACCAGGCCGGGCCGGGCCGGGCCGGGCCTCACCTCTGCCGAAGACGGTGGCTGCTGTCCGCCCTCCTCCAGTCCGCCAGGAGCCAGCATGGCCGTGAGCGTGTCCCTGATCACGGCCCGGACCGCCTCGCTGGGGCTCAGGCCCTCCTCCTCCCTGCCAGGGCAGAGGCCAGAGAGCCAGGCTGTGGGAGGCGCTGCCACCCCGGCCCGCCCCTCCGGCTCGCACAGTTCCAAAGACCATCCTGAGCACGTCCCGGGTGCGCGACGGAGCAGGTCAGGCGTCCCCTGGCCGGAGGACACCGGCAAGCCCCCAGCCCTTCAACCCCCCGGCCCCCGCCCTGCCCGCGGCCCCTGCAGGCCGGCCACCGGCTCTCACCCGTACAGCGCGCTGCCCGCTTCCCCGCACGGGGTGATGATGCTGTATTCGGTGGCGCCTGCAAAGGGGACGGCGACCTGCTGCAGCTCTGAGCCCGCCAGGGCCGGCTCCTCGTAGCCCTCCGGCACCAGGGCCTCACCGGGCTCGGTCACGTGCAGCGCCAACACCTTGGCCGGGGGCTCCTCCGCCAGCGCCTGCGACTCGGCGGCCTTCGGCAGGCTGTCCGCCTTCACCACCGCCACCTGCGCGCCAGACAGACCCGGTGAGTGGGCTCTGGCGTTCAGGCGCCCGGCTGCGGGGCAGAGGCGGGGGGGGGGGGCTGGGCTCACCTCGAGCGTGCCAGAGGGCAGCTCACGCTGGCCACTGGCGTTCAGCAGCAGGTCCAGCGCCGTCTGTGCAGCCAGCTCGGCCGAGCCCTCCACGTCTGGGGAGCGGCAGCAAGCAGAGCGGGTGAATCCGACTTTCTGCCCTGACTGAGCGATGCCCAGGCTGCCCCAAGGGTCACCCATCCTGGCTGCACGACGCCAGGCATGGGCCGGGCGGAAGCAGAAGAGGCTGGGGCGCCTCCCTGAGGGGTGGGAAGTGGCACCGCCGGCAGTCCCGCTTGGAGAACCGTGGCACGCAGGCCGGGACCTGGCAGCACCCCTGCTGGACACGCCCCCATGACTTCCAAGAGCTCACGGGGCTTGCCTGGTACTCAAGGCTCCCCAGAAGCCCTTGCATTGTGCCCTGAACCCTCCCCCCGGAGGGCCCCCGCACACACCTGGCTCATAGATGATGGTGGTCCCTTGCAGGGGCTCTCGGGAGAGGATGGGGGGCTCCGGGGCAGGCGAGGCTGGGGCCGGCTGGTAGGCCTCCTGCTGGGAGCGAGAACGGAGGCAGTGCAAGGCGGGTGGCTGGGGGGGGGGCGGGGGGCGGGGGGGCACTCACCGGCAGGCTGGCTGCAGGAGGCTCCGCGGCCACCTGGCCCTGGCTGTGCTGCAGCTTGAGCTCCTCGATCTGCTGCAGCGTGAAGAAGGGCCGGCGGCGGCAGGGGGGCTCCTCCGGGTGCTGCTGGGCCCACTCCCCGAAGCTCTCTGCGTGGCGGCACTGGACGTGGAGGCGCAGGTTCTTCTTCTGCTTCGTGCTGAAGTGGCAGAACTCGCAGGCGAACGGCTTCTCCCCTGCAGGGGACAGCGGCGCGCGGGCTGAGCCTCAGCCACTCCCCTTGGGGACCTGGCGGCTGGGAAGGGCCGAGGGGGCGTTCCGGCTCCCCCTTGGGGGGCCCTGCCAGGGCGGAACAGAGGGGCAGCACTGGCGCTCCGGGAAGGCGGCGAGGGATTTTCCGGTGCCCGACCGCAAAAGCCCCAGGGCCACTATCCTGGGAGTAAAACCACCATGCCGCTTGAAGGGGAGGCGCTGCGGTACAGCCCATAATAATCTGCCCAGGTTTGGTCTATCAGGCCAGCGCTCCTGTCACTGGGCGGGCCAAGTCCCGCCGGGGCTTCAGGTGGGACTCTTGGCCGCTTAGAGATGCTGGCAGGGTCAAGCCAGGCCTCCTGCTCCGGGGAGCCACGGGGGCCGCAGGACCGTCCCGCGGCCCAGTGCTCCCGAGGCCCCTCCAGCAGGCGGCCGCCTTCGCGCTCTGGCTGGAGCCCAGAGGGCTGCCGAGGGGTTTTGGCAGTGGCCCCGAGGCAGGAGGGCGGGTTCGGCTGGCAAGCCACCAGCAGCTGGGGGGCCTCTTGGCCCCACGAGAATCCTCGGCATGGCTGCAGGGCGGTGCGCGGACGGCACTCAAGCCGGCAGGGCCCGGCACTCCCTGCTCCCCTGCTCGCGCGGGAAGGGGCACGGAGCGGGACCCTCCGGCCCCAGTCTGGGGGCAGTGCCCAGCCTGAGCCGCGGAGGCAGGGGGCTCCCGGGGCAGAGGACTCTGCAGGAGCCCCCGCGGGAGCGGCGGGGCTGGCAGCCCGGTGCCAGCAGGCCCTGCCGCCAGGCACGTCCGCCCCCCAGCCCACGCCCGGGGCAGCAAGGCCAGCCCCCCCGCGGCCCCCACCCGTGTGCTTGACGGCCACGTGGGAGAGCAGGAAGTCCTCGCGGACGGTGGCGTAGGCGCAGAGCCGGCAGCGGAAGGGCTTGTCGTCCACGTGCAGCAGCTGGTGGTTCAGCAGCTGCTTCTTGTCCTCGCAGGCGTGTTCGCAGAACTCGCACTTGAACCTGGCGGGGGAGAGCACGGTCACGGGGCGGCGGGGGCCCCACGGGCTGGGCCCCCGCCACCCGGACGCGACGCGACGGCTACCAGTGCTTGGCCACCGCCTGGATGTGGGTCAGCAGGTGCATCTTGAAGGTGTAGCGCTTCTTGAAGGACTTTCCGCACTGCAAGGAAGCAAAGGGCGCCATTCGCATCGCGTGCGCAGAGGCGCCGCCCCCGCCCCCCGCCCCCCCTCCACCCACCTTGTCGCACATGTGCGGCTTCTCGGTGCTGTGCGTCTTCATGTGCTGGGTGAGCCGCTTCTGCATGGGGTAGACGCGGCTGCACACGGGGCAGGGGAAGGTGCTCCGCTTGGGGGGCTGCGGAGACAAGGAAGCCCCGAGCCTGAGCAGGGCGGCCCGGGGGCGGAGGCAACCGCCAGCCCAGCCGCGGGCGGCAGCGAGGCCCAGCTCCCCGCATCCGCGGCAGCAGCCCGCCCCGAGCCGAGCGGGACGCGCGAGCGCCGAGCCCTTCCCCGAGGCGGGAAAGCTACGCGAGAGGAGGCCACAGCGCCGAGGACGGCGCACTCACCGGGTCGGCTCTCTTCTTCCTAAAAGAAACGGAGAAAAGAAGCCGGTCAGGCAGCCGAAGCACAGCCTGGCAGAAGGGGCGACTTGGGCCCCCCGCCGAGTTCATTGCCGCGACGGGGGCGCACGCCAGGGTCCCCGCGGGGTCAGCAGAGAAAAACGCCGCCTACTTGTCGCGGTTGTGCACGGCCGAGTGCCGGATGACGTCCTTCTTGTACACGCTGGTGTAGTCGCACTCCTCGCACTTGTAGGGCTTGCTGCCCACGTGGTTGAACATGTGCTCCTGCGGGGGCAGAGAGACGGGCTGAGCCCCGGGCGCCTGGGGCCGCCGGGGCCGGGCACCTGGGGCCGCCGGGCAGCTCACCTTCAGCGAGGACCAGCGCCGGGAGCGGTAGCTGCACTGCAGGCAGCGGAACAGCTGCGGGTCGCCTCCCTCGTGCGAGTTGACGTGGAAGCACAAGTCCTCGTGGGTGAGGAAGCGGGAGCTGCAGATCCGGCACAGGAAGGGCCGCATCCGCGGCTTGCTGGACCTGTCGCTGTACCTGCGGCAGCGGAGGGAGAGGCGCTCGGCACGGGGGCGGCACGGGGGCAGCCCTCCTCCCGGGCACGCAGGCATCCGCTCACCTCCGCCCCATGTACTTGCGGTACTTCTTGCCCAGGAAGCAGTGCGGGGGCCGGCCTCGCCGCCGGGGGGCCGCCTCCGGTTCGGCCTGCGAGGAGGGGTCCCTGTTCTCCGAGTCCGACTGGCTCACGGAGGGCTCCACGAGGCTTTTGCCACACGCAGGCGCCTGGTCGGAGGAGCTGGCGGCCTCCGGGCCCGGCTGCTCCCTCTGGGGGGCACGCTGTGATGAGACTCCAGGCTCCCCTTCCTCTCCACCTGTGGGAAAGCGTGGCATGAGTCAGGGAGGCCGACGGAGGCGGCTCAGATCTGGGGAGACGCAGGGCTCCCGAGCCCGGGAGCAGGCAACGGCGCCTCTTTGGCAGGGGGCCTGGAGGCGAGCGCAGCCGCACGCGAGAGCAGGACCAGGACCGGAGGAGGCTGCCATGTGGCCCCGAGTCCAACCTCCCGCCCAGCGCAGGACTCCGGCTAAAGCATTCCTCACCACGAGTTCTTCCTGAAGCAAGCCAGAATTTGGCTTGCTGAAATGTGAGCCCGTTAGAACAACGAGGGGCCCGCTCTCCGGGAAGGCCAAGCAGAGATCCCATCCTGCCTCTCTGAGACAGCCTTTCAAGGACCTGCAGATGCCGCCATCTCTCCCCATCGTTTTCTCTTCTTGAGGCTTTGCTTCCAGGCCCCGGATCATCCTCTGAACCCTTCCCAGCTTGTCTGCATCTTTCTTAAACAACGGAGCCCAGAACTGGGCGCAGGGCTCCCGATGGGGCAAAAGGGAGGGGAACCAGGACCTCCCGGAATGCATCCCGATACAGCATTTGCTTTCTCCCGCCCTCATCACAGTGCTGACTCGGACTCAGCTGTGCGACCCAGAGCATTCAGGGCTCCTTCCCGCTTGCAGTGCTGCTGACCCAGGCATCCCCCAGCCGCGCATTCGACCCTCTCTTCCTACATGCAGAACGCAGCAGGTGCTCCCACTGAGTTCCACTCTGTGGCTGCAGGCCAGTGCACTGCAGCCTATCACAACCGCCCTGGAGCTTCACGGAAGCATAGAAGGGCAGGATTGGAAAGGGCCAGAAGGCCCCCGGGTCCACCCCCTGCTCAGCGCAGGCCGCCCTCCCACTCACAGGGCTGCCCAGTTTCGCCGCAAATGCCTCCAGAGGGGGAGAGCCCGCGACCTCCCCAGGCAGCTGCTTGCACCGTCACGTCGCTCCGGCAGCGAGCCAACTTTCTGGTATCTAGCCGGAAGCTGGGTTGTCGCAACTTGACTCGATGATTCCGTGCGCCACGCTCCGGCATCCGTGAGAAGAGCGCTTGGCCTTCCTCTTGCGATGGCCTCGTCCGTCCCCCAGGGAATGAGCTCTCCCAGCAAAGCCGCTGAGGAGTGAGCCCTGCCTCTGGACAGCGCGGGCCGCGACACGGCAAGACTCGGTGTGCCACTGCAGGGGGAGGGCCCCCTCGCCTTCCTCTCTACCAGGCCCGCTACTCTCGGTCATGCCACGTCTGGGAAGGAGTCCACAAAACGGCAGTCCAGAGCACACCAAGACTGTGAAGCGCACACGCTGCACCAAAGCCTGAGCCTGGCGGACCAGGCTTCTCGTGTCCCGCTTCTGGCCATCGTGACGTCTGAGCAAACGACACCACAGGAAACTCCCAAGAGGCCCAGAGACTGCCGGCACCCACGCCGTTCCCACAGCCCCCCTTTTCAAACCAGACGCAGGAGAAGACTGCAGGAAGAGCGCCCGGTGCTTCCAACGGTGGTGTGGGAGCAGCATTCCCAACAGGGGTCACAGAGGGCTGAAAAAATGTGCCCAGAAACCCAGAGCACACGATCGCGCGAGCACAACCACAGGCAACGGCGTGTCGCCTGCACTGACTTCCGGTGTGGCTGGGGCGCCCGGGCCATCGCTGGCCGGAGACACGCTCAACCGGCACCTCGCACCCAAGGGAGATCCTGGCGCTGGGCTGCATTTCTGAACATGAGTGCTCGAAAGGTGGGGAGAAAGCAAGCCCAGCACTGGGGTCTGTTAGGAAAACACCAGGGAACAGATGCTATTAATCACTGCGGTTCTGCTGATGCTGCGACGCGCCACAGAAGTCTTACCCTCTGGCTGAGGGGGGACCTCCAGGCGAGGGAATTTGCGAGGCCTTCCTCGACGCCGCGGCTGCCGCTCCTCACTGGAGGTGGGAAGGGGACGGCTGAGCTTGGGCAGGCGCCCCCGGGTCTCATCCTCGGCTGGGTTGTAGTCACTGTCATCTGCGATGGAAGAAGCGAAACGGACGCGCGTTCAGCCGCACGACGGGGTGCGTGCAAGAGAGCCCGGCGGTCACTCACGCGGCCTCCGATCAATACCTTTCGCGTCATCGATGGCGCCGGCATCCACAATGTCCTCCTCCTCTTCCTCCTCCTCCTCCTCCGGCTTCTTGCTTTCGAGGGTCTTTGGCACAGGTGCCCCTTTACGCGGGCGGCCCCTCTTTAGGCTACGAGCCGAGGCTGGGAAAGCAGCAAGGCGGTTGCTGGCATGGGCCCGGCCTCCTCCTCCCGAGCACCCGGCCTGGGAGAGGCTGCCCGGCTCCCCACCCCGGGGGGCACGTGCAGAGCTCATATTCACCACGCGAGGGCATCTCACTCAGCACCCCAAGCTGGCGCGCGCTCGCTCCCCCACTCCTTCCCCCAAGGTCTGCTGCCTCACAGAGCCATCCAGAGAGACCTCAGGATCCAGAAGAGGGGTGGGGCTGAGAAGCGAATGCCAGGGCCCTGCCGTGCTCCGCCTCGCTCACAGGTGCCCGTCGTGCCAGGCCCAGTGAAGCTGGCTAAAGCCACCAACCGCGCTCCCAGCACGTGATGCCAGGTCCTGCCGCACAGCAGCCCTCCTGCGGCGGAAGGCCCGGGCCACGCGAGCCGCCCTCCGCTGCCCGCCGGAGGGGCCCCCCACGCCACATCCCGCCCCGGCCAGGCGCACCAGGCTGGAAGTGCCGCTCCCGCATGTGCTGGATGAGGGTCTGCTTGGAGGCGCTCTTGTACCGACACATCTTGCACTTGAACTGCTGCACCACCACCACCTCCATCAGCAGCTCCAGGCTTTCCAGGTCGGGCTCCCCCGTCGGGCCGAGCTGCCCGGGCTGCTCCGGTGGGCTGGGCTGCTCCACGCAGGTGGAGGTGGGGCCGTCGGCCACGGCCTCAGCTGCCAGGGCAGAGCTGGCCACGCAGGGCACAGCAGGCGCACCTGAGGCCGGGGAGCAAGCACACGCAGGGCCGGTCGGGAGCACGCCACAGCTGCACGCACCGCCCCCAGGCTCCCCTGGCCACAAAGGCCCCTCCAGCCGCCACCACAGCGCCTGCTGGCCAAGGCCGGGACTGCCGCCTCTCAGCCTTCCCAGCCCCGACCGAAGGGCACGGGGCTGCTTGTCCGGAAACGCCGTCCATCAGGCAGGCAAGAAACGCCCAAGGGCCTCTCCTCACCATCGTCGGGGCCCTGCAGGATGAGGTACTGGGTAGTCTGTGCCCCGCCGTCCTCCTCGCTGGTCGCAGCGATGCATCCTGCACCAGAACAGAAAAGGAGCTTCCGTTTCTTGCAGGAACTGTGCCGCGGACGGGCAGCGACGCACACGAGTCACGGGAAACGGCAACGGGAGGAGGACCCTCGCTCCCGTGCCTGCAGCTCCTCCCAACTCCCTCCGAAATCACTGCTCGCTCACTCTGGATGGCATCCGGTCCAATGGTGGACTCTATGATCTTGTCGATGGTGGAGCCCAGGTCAGACGAGGTAGAGGCTGCGGAGTCGGACACAACGGGAGCGCCCTCTACAAGGATACTGGAGTGAACCAGGCCCGGAGGGGACTGGGAAGCCAGGGCGGACTGGCTCGCTGCGGAGATGCTGGAGACCAGGGTGGATTGTGCGAGGGAGGAGGAGTCTGGCAAGTAGGCCCTGGGCAGGTCATCAACGCTCGAGCTGCTCTCGGCTACTTCTGCCTGCACAGGGGGAGGGAAAGCGGCTGCCGGACTCCGGTCGAGTCCACATGGCCAGCAGGAGAGCAGCAGCAGACGCCCCCGGGCTCTGGCTGCTTCCACCAGGCGGCCTGTGTTAGCCTTCTTCCCCTTGGCCCGCTCGGTCCCACCCCAGCTGGAACAGGGGGTTCCCCACCGCAAGGCAGGCCTAGAAGTGGCTTGCTCCATACCAAGGAGACCCCTCCGCTGTCTGAGCTCTGGCCTACGCCAGATTCATCGGCTTCCGAGAGGGTGATGGCCAACAACGCGGCATCACTGCTATCTGCAGACATGGCCTCCGAGGTCTCCATTCCAAGGCCACTTTCCGAAGGCTCTTCCTGCTGCCCCAGCCGAGGGGCTGCATCGCTGCTGCTTTCCACTTCGTTCTCTGCTTCCATGGCCAAAGCTGCAGGGCAAAGAAAATATCCCTCACTTTTCACCAAGTTTCTGGATATGGCATATACTGCTACCCATCATCTTCTGACAAAGTGAACCGCAACTGCAAATACTGAACCATGAAAAAATGGGTTCTGTTCACAAAACAAAAGGGACCCCACTGGATCAAAAGACAAGCCAACGGAGCAGCTGTTTCAAAGCTGCAGCTCCGAAGTTGCCTCTCCAAATCAGCACGATGGGCCTGAAACTGCACCGCTGGAGCTGTTTTGCTTGTAATGCTCACCTGAACGCAGCGCCGGAATGCAATGGGAACAGTCCAAGGTGGGCCAAACCACCGCGCTGGCTGTTCTTGCAGGAGAGGTGGGCTCAGGGCAGTCCGGCACCCAGCAGCTTTCACGCTAAACAGGGAGAGGAGGGCCAGTCAACTCCCCCAGGAGACCCATGCGCCCGCCCGGGCCCCGCGCCGCAGAGGGCAGGCCGAACCCTGCCCTCGCGTTATTCAGAGGCCGCCAGAAGCGCGGGCTCGGCGGGGGGCGCTGCCTGCAGGCGGCCACGTCCAGGGAAGGGGCGGCCGTCGGGGCCCACCGGCCCGGCCGCTCGGGCCGCCTTTGGGCGCCCGTCATTCGCACGAGCTGCGCCCGCGCTCCCGCCGCCAGGCCAGGCATGGCAGCGCCCGAGGGGGCGCCGCGCCTGCGGGGGCGCCGCATCGCGACCGGCAGGCGCCCTGCCTCGCCCCGCCCGGGCGGCGGCGGCGGTCCCGGCG